CACAGTTAAGCAAGCCCAGTCCTTTAGGCCTGGACTCTAGAAATGGTCCCCAGCTCAGATGCTTTCGGGGAGTCCTCAAGGGACTCTGAGTCACTTTCTCTTACCCTTCATCCTTGGCAGTTTGGCTCTAAAGTGCAATTCCAGGGCCCCACAGCAAGATGGTGCAGGGCAGAGCTCAACCAGTGTCTGTCTCTGTGCCAATGGACACTGGCTGCATTGATGCCCGCTGAGGCTCAAAAAGCAGTTGAAGGTCCAAGACACAGGTCTTCTTCATTTATTCATTTATTCAGAAAATATCAGAGGACCCCCCCCCACTGTGCAGGAGGCACTATACTGACCCATGGGGTCCTCAGTGGAAGAGAAATGAACCCCCCTTGTTGTGAATGTTTTTGCTCTTTTTACTCTTTTGGGAGACCCACCATCCAGCTCCCAAATAAATCACACACAGAGGCTTATTCTTACGTTATAAATGTCCAGCCTTAGCTTGACTTGCTGCTATCCAGCTCTTCTTATCTTAAATTATCCTGTCTATCTTTTGTCTCTGGGCTTTTATCTTTCTTATTTCTGTACGTCTTACTTTCCTTCTTACTCCGTGGCTGGCTGGGTAGCTGGTCCCCGACTTCCTCCTCTCCTTGTTCTCTCCTGCTCCTCATTTCTCTTGCTGCTCCGTCTGCTTTTTTGTCCTCATTTCTATTTATTCTCTCTGCCTGCCAGCCCCGCCTATCCTTTCTGCTACCTCGCTATTGGCCGTTCAGCAACTTACTAGAACCATCAGGTGTTTTAGACAGGCAAAGAATCACAGCTTCACAGAGTTAAACAAATGCAGCATAAACAAAAGCAACACCCCTTAAAATAATACTCCTCAACACCCCCTGACCTCAAGGTCATCCACCTTAGACATCAGGAAACAAAGCAACACCTGAATCTGGTTCAAGACCTTCCATGAGAACAGAAGGGCAGAGTTACCCAGAGGCCTGGGAGTAGGGAGCCAGTTGTGAGCCAGAGAGCATTGTGCAAAGACCCCAGGCACAGGAGCCTGGCAGTAGGAGAGGAAGTGGGAGGTACTTCAGGGAGGTGAAGCCCTGTAAGAAAACGTCATGCCCATGTGCCCAGACATAGTATGTGTCTTGGTTAGTGGTGTAGGAGGTTCTTCTATGTATTGCTTTCATTGGTTGAATAAAGAAACCGCCTTGGCCTTTTGATAGGGCAGAACTCAGGCAAGTAAACAGAACAGGATGCTGGGAAGAAGGGCAGTGTGTCAGACACCATGGTTCTCCTGCCTGAGACGGACACTGGTTAGACTCATGCCGGTAAGCCACAGTCAAGTGACGATACACATTAATGGAGATGGGTTAAACTCATATGTGAGAGTTAGCCAATAAGAGGCTAGAGATAATGGGCCAGGCAGTGTTTTAATTAATACAGCTTCTGTGTGATTATTCTGGGTGTATTTTGGGTGTAAGCTAGCGGGGCGGCCGGGACAAACAAGGGGCCCCGCTCCCTACAACACGTTAGGGTTTCTATTGCTGCATCAAAACACCAACACACCAAAAAAAAAAAAAAAAAGCAAGCTGGGGAAGAAAGGGTTTACTTGGCTCACACTTCCACATCGCTGTTCATCACAGGACAGCGAACTCAAAGAGGGCAGGATCTGGGAGGCAGGAGCTGATGCAGAGGCCATGGAGGGGTGCTGCTGTTTACTGGCTTACTCCACCTGGCTCACTCAGCTTGTTTTCTTATAGAACCTAGGACCACCAGCCCAGGGATGGCACCACCCACCATGGGCTGGGCCCTCCCCCATTGATCACTAATCAAGAAAATGCCTTACAGCTGGGTCTCAGGGAGGCATTTTCTCAGCTGAGGCTCCTCGCTCTCTGATGACTCCAGCTTGTGTCAAGTTGACACACAAACCCAGACAGTACAGTGTCTTACTCCCTACTCTCAGCTTCAGCTCCCCCACTTCTCCCTGCCTCAGTCATGGGAGCCCAGAGCCAGGCCCTAGTCCCACCTGCTCCCCAAAGCCCAGGATATCTTTCAGCATCCTCTAATCCTCAGGGCTAAAGACCAATGTGAACATGACCATAGAGGACACATGCCCTCCCCTAAGAACTCCCATAGCCAACTCCATACTGACACAGGAATATTACTGTTCTGGGTTAAGCCTGGAAACAGAAATGGCACATATATTAAGCACTAGCTGTATACATAAGCAACAAAGAGCATCTGACTATGATACCTTGGTGCCCTCAGGGCTCTGACTCCAAAAGAGTGTACATAGGACCCCTCTCATCCTTGTGAGCTATCCTGGTGGCCTGTGGCAAGTGGAATCTGCAGTTGATTTGATTCCAAGCCGGGAGTGGTGGGTGAAGACAGCCCCATCTGTCCCCACAGGCCACCACAATGTTCCAGAGGCCCTTCATGCTCTGCCTCTTGAAGGGGCTTAACAGTCAACTCCTGTGCTCCAAGGGTGACTTCCTGGCCCCCTCTGCCATCGTGCCCTGTGGAGCAGCAGGCACTGGGCCCCTGGGAAATAGCAGGGATGCCATACGGGCCTGGGTCAGATTCTGCCTCATCCTATAGGTTACCAAGCACTGCTGGCAGTCCCAAGACATCTAAGGTCTATGGAGAGCAGCCAGATAAGAGGTGGGGGACCAGTGATCTGGCCCCTCTTCCACATACATAACCTGCTAGAGAACCATCCCATGGGACACAGCCCAGGAGCTGAGAGAGCCGTCCACCTCTGGGTTCCAGTCTCCAATATGAGACTGACCTGCTGTGTGACTTCCAGGAACTGCAGAGCCTCTCTGAACCTCAGTGATCACCCCATCTGTAAAGTTGAGCTGCTCCTGGCACCCCCAGTCAATCCTACTGTGTGACAGTCTGCCTCCCCTGGAGATCAAGAGGCTGAACTGCAGTGGGTCCCTGGATGATTTAAGAGGGGGTGGGGTGGGAGAGGTGGGGAGTGGCTAACTCAAGGGCCAGGTAGGTCTGCCCAGGCCCCGCCAAGCCTTGTGCCCTCAATGCACAAAAGTTCCTGGAGCTCCAAGCTGACGGTGGAGCCCAAGGCTCAATGAACAAGGACACGCTGCTTAGGGTTTTTGTTACTGCGATGAAACACCATGACCGAAGCACTCCAGAGAGGACAGGGTTTATTTGACTTACACTTCCATATTGTAGCCCATCACTGAAGGAACTCGGGACAGGAAGCTGGAGACAGGGGCTGATGTAGAGGCCATGGAAGAGTGCTGCTTACTGGCTTGCTCCCCATGTCTTGCTCAGCCTGCCAGGACCACCTGCCCAGGGATGGTACCACCCACAATGGGTTGCCCTCCCCCAATCAATCACTAAGAAAATACCCTACAGGCTTGCTTACAGTCCAGTCTTATGGGGGCATTTTCTTTCTTTCTTTCTTTCTTTCTTTCTTTCTTTCTTTCTTTCTTTCTTTCTTTATTGGGGGAGGGGGGTTCAGGACATGGTTTCTGTGCAGCCCTGGCTGTTCTGGAACTTGCTCAGTAGAACAGACTGGCCTCAAATTCAGAGATGTGCCTGCCTCCGCCTCTTGAGTGCTGGGATTAAAGGTGTGCATCACCATGCATGGTATGGAGGCATTTCCTTGATTGAGGTTTCTTCCCCTCATAACTTAAGCTTGGGTCAAGCTCGGGCCATAAAACTACCTCCTAGCACAACTGGCCAACTTGAGCCACAAACACACTGCTGTAAAGCCACAGCCTTTTCTCTCTTACTCACCCCCAAGATCACACATTAAGTAACCATCACAATAAAGACCGTTTTATAGACAAAAAAAAAAGTCCTTCCAACTTACAAATTCAAACGCTTTAAAAATTCAGTCTCTTTAAAAAAAAAAAAAAAAACAGGGTTTTTTCTTAAAGTCCAAAGTCTCTATTAAAATAGAATGCCTTTCAACTGTGGGCTCCTACAAAATAAAATTAGCTATTTCTTATTTCAAAAGGGAAGAACCGGGCAACAGCCACAATCAGATCAAAGTAAAACCAAACACCAACAGTGTAAAAACTCAATGCCCAATATCTGGGATCCACTCAGGATCTTCTGGGCACCTCCAAAAGGCTTGGGTCACTTCTCCAGCTCCACCCTGCCCAGCACGCACAGTTTGACTGCTAGGCTCAGGCCGGTTCCACTCCACCCTCTGCTGCTGCTCTTGGTGGCCATCCCCTGGTACTGGCATCCGAAAGCTGGGTCACCTGCTGCAACCAGGCGGCACTTTCACCAACAGCCTCTATTAGGCTCTCGCTGTGCCAAGTCTCAACCTTCTCCATCACCCCTCAATCCTGGGCTCTCCACTGCCACTCCGGCGGCTCCTTCACCAATGGCCTCTTCTGGCCTCTCCTGGTGCCAGACCTCAGCTGCTCTCCATGACCCCTTTCATGTCTTCAAAACCAGCATCAGCTGGGTGACTCTTACACACGTCCGAGTTTAGCCGCCAGCATGAGGTACAACCTTGGTGGCCTCCGGAACTCAGCTTCTGTGTGCTCTCAGGAAACACTTCCCAGATTTCACCTCAATGCTGCTGGCCTCTTCTTAATCCCAGCTGATTCTTCAGCCCCAGCCAACCAGCATCCGTTATCCCCGAAAAGCAAAAGTTTTACTTCGGTGGTTCCGCTCTCTTGTTAATCACTCTGAATCTTCAGCCCCCCGCTAACCAGAACCACGGGTTCTTAACTCAGAATGACAAACAACTCTGGTAGAGTCCTTAGGGACTCACAGACTTCCATCTGAAACTTCACAAGCCAGGCCTCCACCATCGGCACGGCTGTCAATACTCTTATCTTCCAAGCTCCCACAAAACAGCTCACTGAGATCTCAACACTCGATCACTTTTCTAGCTCAGTATTCCAAGTCCTTCCATAGTTCTCCCCAGAACACATGGTCAGGTCTGCCACAGCAATACCCGACTCCCAGGACCAATTTCTGTCCTAGGTAGGGTTATCATCACTGTGAGGAAACACCATGACCAGAGCGACTTGGGGAGGAAAGGGTTTATTTGACTTATGCATCCACATCCAGAGTCCATCACTAAAGGAAGTCAGGACAGGAACTCAAGCAAGGCAGGAATCTGGAGGCAGGAGCTGATGCAGAGGCCATGGAGGAGGATGCTAACCAGCCTGCTCTCCACGGATTTCTCAGACTGCTTTCCTACAGAACCCAGGATCCCCTGCCCACGAATGGCACTGCCCACAATAGGCTGGGCCAAACCACATCAATCACTAATTAATACAATGTTCCACAGGCTTGCCTGCAGCCCCATCTTATGGAAGCATTTTCCCAATTGAGGTTCCCTCCTCTCAGATGACTTTAGTTTGTGCCAAGTTGGCATACAACTAGGTAGCACACTGCCACACTTAGCCACATTGCTATTGAACCAGCCATACCCATCCGTGGCCTGACTCCCCCAAGCCTCTCTTACCCCACTGGTCTTTCTCAAGCCTGTAGAGTACACCCCAGCTCTGAGAAGACACACCCTCGCAGCTACTCAGGGGCCCTATCATCAACCCTAGGCATCTTCTGCCCCAGGGCCACCTGTGTCCAGGGCACAGATCCCAGGCCATGGGGGCACAATTATTATAGTGTTCCATTCTGTCCTCCTGTCCATCTGCACAGACAGAGAGTAACGAACATATCCAGAGGGGGTGACGGTTACCTTCACCTGTCAACTGGGCATAGTCTAGAGTCTCAGTGAAGGCCCACCTAGATCAGGTTGGTCTGGAGGCACATCTGTGGGGGATTGTCTTGATTGCCTCAATTGAAGTAGAAAAGCCCAGCCTGAAAGAGGGCAGCAGCACTCTCTGGGGTTGGGACCTGAATTATCTAAAAGTAGAAAAGCCAACTGAGCTGGGTGGTGGTGGTGCACGCCTTTAATCCCAGTACTCAGGAGGCAGAGGCAGGCGGATCTCTGTGAGTTCGAGTCCAGCCTGGTCTACAGAGTGAGTTCCAGGACAACCAGGGAGGTTGCATGGAGAATCCCTGTCTCAGAAAAAGAATGCTGATCACTAAGTGTGCACATACTCATTTCTCTCTGATGGTGACTGTGGCTGTCATGTGATCAGCTGGTCCGAGGCCTGCCCTCCATGACTTCACTGCAGTGACAGATGGTAACCTGGGACTGAGGGCTCAAACAAGCTCTTCTCCCTTCAGTTGCCTCGACCAGATACATCACCACAGCAACAGAGAAGAAAAGGAACAGAGGATGAGTGTCCACCCAAGCACCTGGCACCGACCTGGCACAGGGACACACACGGCAGATGTGGGAGGGTCGATGTCTTTATTGAGGATACAGGGACTCAGAGTGGGAGGCATGGGCCCCGGCACCCCCAAGCATCCTTCTGGGGTCCCAGCACCAGTCTTTTCCTGAGAAGGGCCAGGGCCCTGGTGCCAGTTATGGGCAGCTCAGGTCTGCCCGCCTTTGCTCTTTGAGGACCAGATCTTGGACAAGCGGAACTTGGACTTCTTCCTCTGAAGGCCTGAGGGGAGGACAGAGCCATGAAGCTCTCACTGAGGTTCCTGTGTTCCCTTCCCTGACCACTCCACAGAGCTGCCACTCCCACAGGAAGCTCTGCCCCACCCAGTCCAGAAAGGCCATCCTCCCTGCCCCCTGCTGGGCACCCATCATTACCCAGGTTCTGGATCATGTTCTCCAACATTTGGTCCTCTTCTTGTTCCCTGGAATGGGGACAGGGTGACTGTGAGGGACATGGGCCCTGGGGAGCTACAGAGAACATGTGTGCACTCTTTCTCTCTGTCTCTGTCTCTCTCTCCCGCTCTCTGTCTGTCTCTCTGTCTCTTTCTTTGTCTGCCTCGGTCTCTCTCTCTCTCCCTCTGTCTCCCTCTGTCTCTCTCTGTCTCTGTCTCTCTCTCTCTCTCCACACTAATGCCGGAGTCAGCCCCACCCATCCTGGCTATCTCCACCCCTAACACACCATGAGACACTCCACTCCTCCCTCCATCCCCAGCCCTCCCCAGTGTCTGCCCTCCCCAGCCCAGCCACTCAGCAGTGACCTGGGGACAGCAGATGGCCTGTTCTGACACTAGCTAAGCCCATGTTGGGGTTACATGGAGTCTGGCTTAAGTTCAGCTTTGGGATGACCCTGTGTACCCTGGGCATTGGGCCTCACTGGATACCAGAGAGCCGAGCACAAGCATGCTGACATTCATGTCCCTCTGCTTGTGACTAGATCTGACGTCACTAGCTGCCTCCAGTTCCTGTCACATCCAGGATCATGGAGAAGCTTTGCAGCCGCCAGGAAACACACAGCTACACATATCTGGTTAAAATAAAGTGTTAAGCCAGGCTTGGTGGTGTAGGCCTTTCATCCCAACTACTTCTTGGATAACATCCCAGCTAAGTCTGAGGCAGGAGGATGGAATTCAAAGTCTACCTGGTCCAAAGAGTGAGTTCAAGGCCAGCCTGGGCAACTTAGTAAGACCACTTCTCAAAATAAAGTAACATCAGTGCTGGGGCTATAGCACAACACTAGAGTCCCCAGAGAGGTGCTGGGGTGTGGCTCAGTGGTAGAGCCCCTGCCTAGAATCCCCCAGTGAGGGGCTGGGGTGTGACTCAGTGGTAGAGCCCCTGCCTAGAATCCCTAGTGAGGGGCTGGGGGTGGAGAGATGGCTCAACAGTTAAGAGTGCTTACTACTCTTTCAGAGAACCCAGGTTCAGCCCCAGAACCCACATGTCAGCTCACAACCACCTGTAACTGTAGTTCCAGGGGATCTGATGCCCTCTTCTGACCTTGTACACATGCGGTGCACATAAATTCTTGTAGGAACACGGGCACATGTATAAGAGTAGTAAATAAATCATTTTTCAAAAGTCATTTTAGGCTCAACGGTTCAGCTTCACAAGCCAAAGGTCATGGTCTGTTAGCCACTCATGGCTGCCACACTGGACATCATGAAGGACAGTCTATTTCCTTCGTTAGCTGTCCTGGCCAGAGCTAGTCCTGGAAGACTAGGGTCCTGAGTGAGAAAGAGCCCCATGCGAGGACTAGCCTCCCCCAACCTGAGTCCTTGTGCCATGCAACCTGGGTCCCACTGAGTATGAGTAGCCTGCCAGCCAGGAGCAGCTCTGACCCCAGTCTGTCCTCCCTGGGTCCCTGTCCCTCACCGGAGCCGGTCCTCATCCAGGAAGTCAACGATGTCACTGCGGTCATTCACAGTGTTCACATATTGACTCAGCAGCTCCTGTTCCCGCTGGCGGTCCTGGAGGGACTTCAGACCCTCTGTGGGGACAGCCTGCTGTCAGTAGGGGCCCCACTGTGCTCAGGGACAGGATCAGGGACAGGATAGGTACACTGCCTATGTGTTGTGGCTGGATGGAGGAACCTGATCCAGAGCCTGAGTATGGGGCCTCTGGTCTCTATGACTTTGTTATCCAAGGCTGTGGCAGGGGTCCTCCAGCCAGGATGTGGTGTGAAGGCTGTCCCCATTGCTCAAAGTGCCCCTCCTGTGTCATCCCCTTGAACTTCACACTAGCTGTTGGGGGCAGAGCAGAGAGCACACTGTGGGGTCCTGACTTTGTCAAACAAGAAGAACAGCTAGGACATTAGTCCAAGGTCACACAGTCAGAAGCAGCATAGGAACAAAAGCCAGAAGCCTCGTGGCTTCACCACAACCGTAGTCACCTTTAGACTCTCATAGATCAAGGCAGGGCAAATGGGGAAGTTGGCACACAGGCGGGTCTATGGCTCTCAGGCCAGGCTTCCCGGACACAGACACGTACCTGGCTTGTCCATCAGCTTCCGCAGCTCGTCCTGGAGGTCCAGTTGCCGCTCCTCCAGGTGTTGGTCCTTAGACCTGCAGGACACACATGTCTGAGGCCCAGCCAGACCAGGCTGCTCCTACCACATCCGTAGGCTGGTCCCGGGCAGGGCGCTGCAAGGCTCAGGGGTCTCACTTGTACATGAGTTCTGATTCAAGCCTCAGCAGCAGCTGCTTCTCGTGAATAAGTCGGAACCAGTCCACCATGAGGCTGTCCTCCGCAGCATCTGTGAAGAAACACAGTTGGGGCAGAGAGGCCACAGCGTGCCTGATACCCCCCCCCCTCTGGTGCAGAAGCGCAGACCTGGGACGGGGGAAGCTAGCCAGAGGTACTCAGGAGGGCCAGTCCGCAACTAGCATGGGTGGAGCCAGCCTGTACCAGTAAGGGGCATGGTCAATCTGCAACCAGTAAGGGGTGGCCAACCAGTGTGGCCAACCAGCGTGGCCATGGCCATCCAGTGTAGGTATAACCAGCCTATAGGAACATGGCCTGCCAGTTGGGGTAGGGCCAGCTCATGGGCATGGCCAGCTATAGCATGTGGTCAGCCCTCGGAGATGTGGTCAGCCACTGGGAGTGTGGAAAGCCAGCAGAGGTGTGGACAATCGTTTAGGGGCATGGAAAGCGTATAGAGTGTGGCCATCAGCCACCAGTGGGTGCGTGGTCAGTTTTGCAGCATTGTTCACTGGTAGAGGCATATCCCAAGCTGCTCACCTCCCTCGGCTGCCCGCAGCCGCTTCTCCAGCTCTACACCCCTGAGCTCCAGGGCGTCGAGCTGATTCTCAATCTCCTGCAGCTGCCTGTGCAGCTCCTCCTGGGGGATATAGTCGGGGTGCAGCTGGAGGGAAAATGGAGCATGAGCACAAGCATAGGACCAAAGCTGAGTCACCCCCTAGTGCCCTGTGTACTTACCCTGACTGGGGAGGTCACAGTCTCACCATGTGTACTGTCCAGGACTGCAGACCGCTCTAGAAAACAGACAGATGACTGAGGCCCTCAGTCTCAGGGCACCAAGCCCAACAGAACCTGGACTGGCATGGGCATGACCAGACCCATCTATTCTAGGCCATGAGGCCCAGCAGGCATTGCCCCCTTTACTATCTTCCAAACCGGATGGCATCACTGGGACTGACCTCTTGTCCCCCAGGTGGACATTTTCTCCTCCTTCCTGTTCCTGGCCTGAGCTTCCTGTTTCTTGAGCTCTGGCTGGAGCCAATCAGCAGAAACATCAAGGCTGGAAGGGACAGCTAGTTTCTTACGGTGTGACAGAGAAGGAGAAGGGGCTGCTGGAACAAAGGTGGGGGGCAAAGATGTGTGAGACCCACTGGCCAGAGCCCTGACACTGAGGGGAACCAGGGCTCTAAGCTCCTACTCTGTCCCAGAGCAGCCAGGGTTGCAGTCCATGCACCTCCCAAGGTAGGGCCCCTGTCCTGCCCAAACCGGCCACATCCACTCAGGGAAGCAGCATCCGAGAGACCCACAAGGCTATTGACATCACAGAATGTGACCTGGGAAGTGGCCCACAAAGGGCTCAACTGTGCTAAGAGCAAACTTGGTCCAACACCATATAGATTCACAGGCACACCTAAACATGCATGTGCCTAACAAAACATACATATATATTCAGACTATGCCTGAACACGCCTCACACACATACATCCCATGCACGTACACACACATGTACACATGTATAGGCCATGCTTTGCACACGTACAGTTCCATGCCTGAACACACATGAGCACACGGACTGTACCTAAACATGCCTAGTACACATGCAAACCATGCATGAACATGTATTCACACTTACCCCATGTGTGAACACACATAGTCACACATATCTCTTATATCTAAGCATGCATGTACATGTTGATACCCCATGTCCAAATATGTGTGCATACATAAATTCTGTTTCTGAACATGCATGTAAGCTCATCCCCCATATACATGTTCATATAAGACCACATGTATATACATATGTTGTGCCTGAATACATAAGTGTACATTAAACCCATCCAGGAACACACATGCACATACATAAGTAGCCCCTCTGGCTGAGCAGGGCCTCTGCCTGACCACAGACAGAGCAAGAGCATGTACCCCCGACACACAAGGACACACCTGAGTTCCCACAGGCATTACCTGCAGGGCTGGGCCCGGAACCAGCCGGGCACGGTGTCCTCTTGTTCTGAACAGGAGTCAAGAAGATGTGAGCGCTGGGGCTAGAGCTGCTGGAGACTTTGCTGGGAGTATCCCCTGCCCTCGGCTCTGCCTGGACAGGTACTTCCTTTGGCTCCAAAGTCCTAGGTGGAAGATAAGGTGAGTCCCAGCCCAGACGGGGACACCCAGGAGTGTCTCAAGAGCCATATGCCTATGTCCAAGGTCCACATGGTCTGAAAGGAAGCCACCTGGCCAGGCCTGTATCATCCTGGCCTCTAATTCCAGGGCCTGCCCAGGACACAGGGCTGTGGGCCTCCACATGCTCCATGTGGGACGGGGAGGGTGCCTCTGGCTTGCAGAGACCAAATGGACGGACACCCGCCCCAAGCCAGGCTCATGGGAGTTGCCTGGCATGGCACACCTGCTGCTCTGAGTTCACCACTTCCCTTAAGTCATCCCACTGGGATGAGGCGTCTCTGTCACTCTGTCCCCATCACCTGGCAGGTGAAGAGTTCCGGGACACTCAAGCTGGTGTGAGCCAACTTTTTCTGTGGATACTGAAAAGTCCAGGTGTGTGTGTGCCTTCTGCTCACACCAGTTCCTGGATGTGCACCGCCATGCTCGCGCACATACTTCATTAGGCACCTACTGTGTGCAGGCTCAGCTCATACTGCAGACCCACAGGCAGGGGTGTGCCCCGTGTGCCCTCCCCCCTCCCCCCCCCCCCCCCCCCCCCCCCCCCCCCCCCCCCCCCCCCCCCCCCCCCCCCGCTAGTGAGCAGCCACCTCCGCTCACCTCCCGGCAGAGCTTTTCTTATCCACAGGCTTCAGGCGGGCTCTCCATCCTTCTGGCCCCTCCTCCTGGCCTTCCTGAGAGGTGGAACCCGGACCTAAGTGTAGGAAACAGATCAAGCAGATGAGACAGGCTGAGACAAGTTGGCCATTGTCATCTGTTCCTTTTGACAGCCCAGAGCCAGCCCAGCATGCAGGACGGAGGCAGGGCTTCCAGCCTTGCTGCTGTGCTGTGTACCCTGAGGGAATCACTGCCCCTTTCTAGGCCTCAATTTCCAATCTGTCAAATGGGTGTTGACAAGGAAGGGAAACCCTGTTCCCCTTCTCTATGGGGGTGACATGATGAGCAATGAATGGGCACGGCTCCCTCTTCAGAGTCTCTCTTGGCTCACGCCTAGCAGTGGATTCAATGGGGAGCTCAGTCAAAGGGAAAGCTACAGAAAAGACAACTCTGTGGTACATCCTGAACCCTACTTCCCCAAGCACCCACAGAAAGGGCAGAGCTATGTAGACCCAGAGGGTCTGGGAAGTGTTCCTGGGGGACAGCAGGACCCCAGTCCTAGGCAGAGCCATTGTGAAGGTGGACAGGGCCTCCTTCTGCACCCCACAGGCACAGCCAAGGACAAAAGGCAACACAGGACGATGATCATGGTAAGACCCTGGGAACACTGGCCACAGCCACAGAGACGCAGCAGATGAAGGTCCATAGAGGACTATGGGGTTCTGAGAGCTAAGCCACAGAACAGCAGACACCTAGAACAGCCTTCAAAGAGAAAGGCAGCCTGGGAATATAGCAATACTTGGGGAGTGGCCACCCCAGAGCCCTGCACCTCTCCACCCCTCCCCATCCCTTAGCAGGAACTCTTACCCTTCGGTATTGCCGCTTCTGCTTGTGGCCTGGAGCCGGCACTGGTCTTACCAACCCCTGGAGATATACCTAGGCTCTTGTTGCCAGTCTGGAGTGATACAGATGCCCATGAGGTATTGCCCACACTCAGGGGGACGGTAGGCTCCATCTTCAAAGCGGGGGGCCGGGGAGTGGTTGAATGTGATAGCTTGGGTGAGGGAACTTTTGGGGGTACTTCATTCTTGGGAAGAGACATTGGGATGGAGGAAGTGGCTTGGGAGGACCTGTGGAGAAGAAAATGGGTATCAGGTGTAGGCGAATCCATGAGTCACACCCCTCCTGAGTGACCCCAATGAACTGAGGACAATCTACCCCAGGCCAGATGGCCCGTGGCATCTACTTATGGCACTTACATGCACTGGTAGCTCTTTTATGCTATTAAATCTGGTGTCCACTGGGATTAAAATGTCCCCCAGATATACCATGCATGGGTGCAAAGCTGAAGGACCAAGGAGGGCCTGGCTGGAGCCACAGGCTGGCCTGCACTTGCCCAGATAAGTATTAAGTTACTCATAGGATGGACGGTCCAGCCAGGCACCAGCCTCCACCTGAGCTGTGTGGCTTTGGGTTACCTACGTTCCCTTAGGCAGCTCACATGCAGGTACACAGAGCCCAGGCAACACGTGGCACCACTCCAAGCTCTGCCAAGCCTATTCTGCAGGGCCAAGACAGAGGTGCTTATCACGGCCCAGAGGCTGCAGTGTATAACCCTCCTGACCCCAGCACCAGCCCAGGAGCCTCTGGGTACCAAATGGGGGTAGGTTCCGGCAGTTATGAGCCAAGAATATCCCACCCTGAAATCAAGGACCAACCCAGGGTAGAACCTCTTGACTCACTAAACAGCTGTAATGGGTTGAATGGGTACATTAAAACTCAGAACTACTAGGGAACTTGATGTGTGATCTTATTTTTAAAGTGGGGGAAGGTGCTGAGTGGTGGTGGCACACAGCTTTAATCCCAGCACTCAGGAGGAAGAGACAGGCAAATCTGTGAGTTTGAATCCAGCCTGGTCTACAGAAGGAGTTTCAGGACAGCCAGGGCTACACAGAGAACTCTTGTCTTTAAAAAGGGGGCGGGGAGGTGCAGTAAACGTGACCACATTATAATTCAGTCACACTAGAGGACAGTGGCCCCCATTCAAAACCACTAACCTTCTAAGAGACAGACGGCGTAAGTGTGGGGATGCACACCTGTAATCTCAGCACTGGAGACGCTAAGGCAAGGGGACTTGGAGTTGAAGGTCAGCTGGGATACATGAGACCTTGTCTCAGAAACACAAGGACTGGGCTGGTAAGATGGCTCAATGGATGAAAGTGCTTGCCATGGAAGCCTGGCAGCCCAAATTCAGCTCCCAGTACCCACATAAAGGTGGAGGGAAAAACGGACTCCAGAAATTTGGTTTCTGACCCCCACACAGACATTGTGACATATGCACTCTTCCCCATCATACATACATACATCATACATAATACATACATAAAAAGGACCTGGGGTGTGTGGCTCAGTGGTAGAGCACCTGCCTAGAATCCCCCAGGGAGGGGCTGGGGCGTGGCTCAGTGGTAGAGCACCTGCCTAGAATCCCCCAGTGAGGGGCTGGGGCGTGGCTCAGTGGTAGAGCACCTGCCTCACATGTGGGATACCCTCAATTCCATCTCCATCTCTCTTCAGAAGAAAAAAAGGAAAGACAGAGGATAGTGGAGTCCATATATAATGGAATCAGAGATGGAGGAAGGCTGCTACCAACCAAGAGTTGCCAGGAACCTGTAGATGGTGGGGTAAAAGGATTCTCTCCTCTGCAGCCCTGGTGGGGCGTGTGGCCTACCACAGGATATGCTTCTGCCACTGAAGCTGTCCTGTGAGGGATGACTACCGCCCCTCCCCCTACTTGCATCATATGGTCAGTGTCTAGTGGAAGACACTATAGGTACCAGGCACAAAGGGATGCTCAGAACCCAGCTCCACACACACAAGTCATCCAACGCATGGAACCAGGCAGTGTGACTTCCATTTTAACACCCCTCTTCCTGTCCACAAGACAAGCATAAAGGTCCTGGAATACCAGTCTAGTGTGGGCCACCTGTAACCAGCAATGCCTGTAAGCCCACCACACCCTGCATTCCTGCTTCTCTCCCGTCCCCCACCTCCACTTCCCAGATAAGGTAGCTAAGGCCACACAGTCATGGAGAGACAGAACTTCTCCATGTCCTGGTGGGCAGGTTACAGCCATACCCCACATCTCTCCCACCTACCTGCCTGACGTCTGTGTACCAGCTCCTGTCAGCCCCGGTAGGGCCTTCCTAAGTACACTTAGTGCTTGCTCACGGCTGCTCTCCTGGGCAGGGGTATCCACAGCAGCAGAGACCTTGCTGGCAGGGACATTCACCACAGTGGGGCCCTTGTTGATGGGGGCATTTACTACAGTGGTGGTCTTGCTGGTGGATGTATTCACCACAAAGGGGACCCTGCCATTGGGGGCATTCACCACAGGGGGGACCCTGCTGGCAGGACTGTTGTTAGATGGGGCTGGAGCAGGATTCTGGAAAAATTTCTCTCGGGCTTGCTGAGTCCTAGAGGCGGCTGAGGTCCAGGCTGGGGTGGCCGCTGTGTTTGGAGATGCTGTGCTCAAGTTGAGCGGAGTCTTAACACCTTTGGAAGTTGCCTGGCCTTGGGGCACAGACGGGTGAGAGTTCAGAGTACTTGGGTGCACAAGGGGACGGGAGTCGATGGTCGCTGTGCTGCTGCTCTTGGCAGGTGATGACCAGCCTGCCGGGGAGCTATTAGTCACATGGGTGATGGCTTTGCTAGTCACAGAAGTAGTGGCCACTGGGCTCGTGGACAGCCTGGGCCCTGCAGGGCTCCCCACTTGAACACAGGAGGTGGCTGGCCGGTTAAGTTCAGTCTGGACAAAACCTTTGGCAGTTGTGTTGCCTACAGAGGGCTCCCAGGCTGCTGCCTTGGTCCTCAGTGGTGTCCCCTCTCCTGGTCCATTTGCCTCCTGAACTTTCCGTGAGGCATTGGTTGGCCTAGTGTCTGCAGCAACAGCCCCTGGCTGTCTGGAGGCCAGTTTTGACAACTTGGGGCTCCCAGAGGTGACTTCTTGGCTGTGATGGGTACAGACAAAGACGCCCGGCTCTCCTGTGGCACGGTAGGCCCCTGAGTGCAGTGTGTTGGAACACTGCTTACACCTGTGGGAGGAAGCCACTGAGATCGATTCCGACCCCTTGCTCAATCCCTCATGCATCCCTTGCTCATCCGTTTCATCCTCCCAAAAGCACCCGCCGCCACACTCCTGTATCCACGCATGCCATCACGGTTCATGCGACAACTGCTCATGAGTGACTTCCATCACTGTGAGCTGCAGTGTCCACTGGCACACTGGTCAGGGGTGTGGACACCACAGAAGGTGTCAGCAGATGCATACATAAAGACCACAGAGTGTGTCCCACTTTCAGGAGTCCCCCCAAGCTTGAAGAAGATGGACATGAGATTCATTCCTTGTCTCCCAAATCTGGAAGCTTCGGGGAGGCAAGAAGGAGGTTACTGTCGGCCAGAACAAGGGGACGCAACGGAGGTAGGTCGGAGCTGCTGCTGTCTCCATGACCCACAGTAACCAGCAAGAGCTCGCCCACCAGAAGAACATGAAGAAGCAGAGCGACTCAGTTAACGGAAAGCGCCGAGATGATTGGCTTTCTGCTGCCACCCACAAGCAGAGGGACTCGGAGATCATGCAGCAGAAGCAGAAAAAGGCAAACGAGAAGGAGGAGGAACCCAAGTAGCTTTGTGTCTTCGTGTCCAACCCTCTTGCCCTACGCCTGTGTGCCTGGAGCCAGTCCCACCATGCTCGAGTTTCTTCCTGTAGTGCTCACAGGTCCCAGCACCGACGGCATTCCCTTTGCCCTGAGTCTGCAGCAGGTTCCTTTTGTGCTTCCTTCCCCTCAGGTAGCCTATCTACCCCTGGGCCACTCCTGGGAGTGAGGGGGTTACCCCTTCCCAGTGTTTTTATTCCTGTGGGGTACACCCCAAAGTATTAAAAGTAGCTTTGTAGTTCAAAAAAAAAAAAAAAAAGGAGGTTACTAAGGATCACAGTGTAAAAATAAATAAATAAAAACCAACACAAAGGGTTGAGACAACAAGGGAGATTGAGTCAGTGTGTCTAAAGGACAACGCCAACATTAAAGGAGGATATAGGTACTGTCCCCAGTGGAAGACAGATGCCAGGACCCAGACATGCGGTGTTTGGAAAATCATACCTGAAGCAGCTTCGGTGGTAGAGCCGCCCATCAGCCAGGTGCCGCTGCACGAGGTGAACGTGTTTGCCACAGATCCCACAGATGCTGCTGACGGAACTGCCTGCAGTTCCCAGAGCCTGCAGGGAAGTGTCAGGGGCTGCTGAGGGGCAGCTGACATCTCCAGACTCCCACCTCAGCCCAGAGGTGGCCAACAGATCCCACTTGATGGACTGGAGAGCTGAGACCCTGGGGAGCCGCTAGCCACAGCATGGGCATGACTGCACACTCGGGACCTCCGCACTGGCCCTGTCGGGAGCAGGAGACTGATTTCGGAGATCCTGGGGACCCAATGTGGGGCTAAAGACAAATCTAGTACCTTCTGCTACCCCACCAGGCTCTGAGATCAGGCCAACCCCCGGGCATCCAGGCCTGCCTTGCTCTGCATTCATGGAAGCTGCAGTAACCACTAATGGACAGCAGGGGGCACTCAGATTTAGCACTGCAGGGCTGGCCAAGGTCCAACCCAGTGTCCCTTCCTCCAGCTCCATCCCACCTGGATGGCCTCCTGTGGCTCAGTTTACCCATCTGTATTATGGGAATTACAACTCTTGGCCACATTGAGCAGAGCCACCTCAGTAGGTACACTGGATACAAAGCATGGGAAGGGGTACTGTACCCTAAGAGAAAATCCCACAGAGGTCTGTGTTTGGGATATACTTAGCCCTATAATGCCCACTCAACCAAGATATGCTTACAGCCTTTGGAGATGGCCTCTCTGAGCCACTCTCATTCCTCCGAACCACGGGGTTTGTCCTAGCTGGAGACAGTGGTGACCTCTGGGCTGGAGCTGGTGAGGGCACCTTGGCAGGTGAGGGCAGGACCTTCTTTCCAGGACATTCTTCAGTCGAGTCGGATGAGGGTCTCTTCACACCAGCCATGCCCCCAACTGGCATGAGACACAGGAAACAGGTCAGGAGGGTCCCACCCAGAACTTGTACCCTCTGAGAGGTCCTTGTGCCCACAGTGAAAGGCCTGGGCCTCCTAGGACAGCTGGCGGGGTGCAGAGCTGGGAAAGGACAGCCCCAGGGCACATTCTTTCCAGCAAACCCTGACCTGGCCCTCACCCCCGTCTCCCAGCCGACAACCCCAAGTAGGGTCATGGAAAGGGACTTTTCTGTTTCCAAACCACCATTCCAGGCTGGCCCTCGGCCCAGGGGGATTCCGGAGATTTCTAAGAGGAATGTGGTGAGGGAAGCCAAAGAGCTCCCCACTCACAGATCTGGGCGAAGACCCGGCCTGTGCACCCTGCCCTGCCTACCCCTGCCCGGGACATACAGCGTCCACGGTCACAGTCAAGCAGGGTCTGCTGAATGATTCCAGCAGCTGTCTAAGACCTTGGGGGTCAAGATGGGCAAAGAGAGTAGAAAGACGAGGACAGGAGTCATACAGGAGCATAGGGAAGGCACAAGCCTTGCTAAATGTCCCTCAGCAGGACTAGGCTGGGGAACAAGGGAGCCCAGGGGCCTCACTCTATACTTGCACAAAGGCCTCTGGTCTCCTTGGTAACAGATACAGCTACGAGGACCCACATGAGCAGTCTCAGAAAGGTACCCTTCCTGCATCACTACCAACCCTTGGGCCCAGTGCTGTGGCGTGAGAACTGAGGGTGGGCATGGAGCCCAAAGGGGGAGACTGCAGCCTGGGCTGGTGGTTCTGACAGCCTCGGCAGTCTTGGCCATGTCGCTGGCACGGGAGGGCCCTCCTGGACAGGGACTCACTTGGGGACCGGCCGTGGAAGTAGTTGTAATACTGTGACACGTAGGTGAGGATGCTCAGCCGGTCTGGAACCTTCAAGGCCACCATGTCCTCAGCGTCCAGAAGGGCTGGGATGCCCAGCTGTTCTTCAGCCACTTGGAAGGCCTGGAGAGAGGTTTAAATCAGCAGGGCACACAGCAGAAAGAAGTATGACTGAGCCTCCAGCCCAGATGAGAGAGAAGCCTAGGCTACAAGTCCAAAGACCCCTGCCTGAGTGACCTCCCAGGCTCAGTGTGTCTATTTGTAAAAAGGTTCAAAGTACCAACATCCCAACACAAGTTCCTCAGGAGACCAGACCCAGAAGGCTAAGTTGAATGGGGGCGCGGGGCAGGTGCTATGAATTGAACCTAGGGCCTCCAACTTGCTAGGCCGTGCCCCAGCCCCTCACTAGGGGATTCTAGGCTGGGTGGTACAATCCTGTTGTCGTAGCTACTCAGGAGGCTGAGGCAGGAGGATTACAAGTCCAGGGCCCATGCTGGCACTCGGGGTGTGGCTCAGTGGTAGAGCCCTTGCCTAGAATCCCCCAGTGAGGGCTGGGGTGTGGCTCAGTGGTAGAGTATGTATGCCCTAGGTTTAAGTCTCAGTACTGCAAAACAAAATACATAAAAAATCTAAAAAATGTAAAACTTCACCAGCTCCATTTAGCCCAGGGCAGAGGTCACTGGTGTCCTCATCCGGCCCCTGATGACTCACAGGGCTCTCTTGTAGATCCCTTCACTGAGGCTTCTCTTCCAGATGCCTGTGTGGCTTCCATGTGGATGCCAAGCTGGGGTCCTAGACTGCTCGCACGTGTGCAGTTCCTTAGAGTCCCATGCCACGTTCATACCAATCCTCCGATCTCCTCTGAGCCACAGAACAGGCTCAGGATCTGGCCACTTCCACTGAAGGCCATGTGTACCTCCCGTGTGACCTCAGCAGACACTCCTTTCTCCTGCAGAGTCTGGAGAAGGAGAGCCTCCAGGTCCATGCTTCCCAGGGGTCCACTTTCACTGGCTTGGAGAGAAGCCCAGAATCCTTTCTCCACCATTCCCTGCATCTGCCTCAGGACGCCACCCCACCCTGGCTCCTCAACTACGTGTCTTGTCCAGCACTCTGTAGCCCCAGAACCTTTACTCCACCCAGGATGACTTCCTGAAACCATCCACGGACCTGCCAACAAGGTATCCATGGACGCCAGCCTCACCTCCCATCTCACGCCCAGTGCAATTAGAGCAGTGTACTGCAATGCGGCCAACACTGAGCGAACTCTCCTTGGCGTGTGTGCATATGTGTGTCCCTGTGTGCATGCGTGCATGCCTATGGCAGCCAGAGCGCATGGTCAGATGTCTCCCAAAATTGCTCTCTACCTTATGTTCTTTAATATGCTTAGAGGGGGGGGTATGTGCACACATGTTCAAATGTGTGTGCGTGTACGTGTCATGCAGTATGTGTGTACTATGTGCCCACACATGTAGAGGCCAGGTGGGCACATGTAAGGTCCTCCTGGGTGACTCTTCACCTTATGTACTGGTTCAGAGTCTCTCATTTGGAATCCAAAGTTAGCCATCTGGGCTTGTCTGGCTAGACAGCTTGCTCTTGAGGTCCCCTGTCCCCACTTCCCATGCATCGGCATCAAAGACCAGTATTGGGGCCCATGAAGATCCTGCTTGGCTCAGAGCAAGAACACATATGTATCAGTCCAAGGGATAGTGGGGCATATCTTGTAGCAGGGAGACTTAAGATGGCACAGGGAAGGAAGGGTCTCACAATGGGTGTACAGAGCAGGTCTGGAATCAAGGAGCCAGGAAGGTGGTCCTGCCCACCCTCAGGACCATCAGAACCCCCCCTTCCACAGCTTCCACGGGCCTTGCTCTGCCCTGGGTGGATCGGCAAGGTCATCCACAGGGAAGGAGATTGGCTGCTACTCCCTGGGGACTCACTGTTCCAGTGAGGAAGAGAGGGGTCCATGGGGTCCTAGGATCCAAGATCAAAAGTTGCTCTCAGAACACAGACTGACCAGTTTGGGACTGGCTGAGAAGTCGTGGGGAGGCCAAATTCCCAGAATGGGACCCCTGGATAGCCTAGTGGAAGGTTTGCTCCACTGAGGTGCAATGGCCCTTCAGAAAAGAGCTGGGTTGGGAGGTGATGGCCCATGCCTTTAACCCCAGCACTTGAGAGGCAGAGGCAGGCAGATCTCAGTGAGTTCAAGGCCAGCCTGATCTACAGAGCGAATTCCAAGACAGCCAGAACGATTACACAGAGAAACCCTGTCTTGAAAAACGATAAAACAGAACAAAACAAGAGCTGGGAGTTCGAGGCAGAGGGCTTAGAGGACAGGGCAGAGGGCATCAGCTTGCCAACTCACCAGCTTGTTGTTCTCGTAAATGTTTTCCTTCCGGAGGGCATTGAAGTTTCTGGAAGATAAGAACACTTATGTCAAACCAAGTGTGATGACGCACGCCTTTTATCTGCGCACTCAGAAGGCAGAGGCAGGTGGATCTCTGTGAGTTCAAGGCTTGCCTGGTCTACGTGGCAAGTACCAGGACAGGCAGGTCTAGGTAGGGAAACCTTATCTCAACAAAACAAAGCATTTATGTCCAAAGTCACTCAACTCTAAGAAAGAAGTGGGGCCTCGGCAGCTATCTTGCCCAAATGAGGAAACTGAGGCTAAGGGCAGGGCTGTGAATTAAACAGGTCTTGAGCCAGGCTGGTACCGGGTCTGGCTTGTGACCTGCTCTGATCACAACGATGTCACCACACCACCTCCTATCATCTGGATGGTGTGGGAAGTCCTTCTGTATATGTGTTGCTTTTGTTGGTTAATGAATAAAGAATCTGTTTCAGCCAGTGTCTTAGCAGAGTAGAGCTAGGCAGGGGGTGGGGGAGAACTAAACTGAATGCTGGGAGAAAGAAGGCAGAGGCAAGGAAAAGCCATGGAGCCACCAGAGGAGAAAGATGTGAGTCGCCAGTCAGAACCTTGCCCATAGGCCACGAGCCTCGTGGTAAAATATAAAATAGTAGAAATAAGTTAACCAAAGATATAAGAGCTAGCTAGCAATACGCTTAAATGATTGGCCAAGCAGTGATTTAAATAGTATAGTTTTTGAGTGATAATTTTGGGTCTGGGCAGCTGGAAATAGACAGATTGGATCTCCCCTAACATCTGGGTACTGGTGACCCACAGTGGACCCCCAGATCAGCCCTCGCCTCCAGCCCCATTGAGGAGCTTGAGCCCTTGCTTGCCACTCCTGGCCCCATCAGAAGCAACAGGACCCAAATCCAGAGAGATACAGTCAACACCAGCCCAGGGCGGTCCAGCTGAGACAGCTCAGAGGAGGTCCCTCCCCAATGGAGAAAGGACAAGATGGTGAACATGAGAGGCCCTAAGGCAGAGGACAAAGCCAACATAGAGGGATGGAATGCCACAGGGTTAGCAAGTGACTGCCCATATAGCAATCTGGTTATCACTTACAATTTTATGGTGCCTCCTGCAGGAGGCGCTGTTCTGACCCACTCATAAACATACTTCCCCCAATGCTCACAGGTCTTGTGGGCTGAAACATTCTGAAGGCAGAGAGGCTTGGGGGCACATGCAAGTCACTCAGCAGGAGGCAGGGCCAACCCCTCCACCTTTCATTCACCAGAGGCTTCACCTAGTCCTGGGGCGTCAGAAATTCGTTCATAAGTGACCACGGGGTCCTAGGAAGTACCCAAGCAGCCTGGACAGTAGAGCTTTCTTGGAGAAGCCAAGGGAGCCACCCACCCGCCCAGGTACCCAGTGGGCCCCAGACTCCATCTGCATGCCACAACATGTCCTTGACACACCCCACATGACACACCCCGGATCACCTGCAAGTTGCCTTGCCCAGCCCCATGTTGCCAAGAGAGGTCAGCCAGAGCCTGCTGGCACCCTGGGCAAACTGGTTAAAGACCGACAACTGCCCATCTACCCACTTGCTGTCTGTGGGTCCCAGGAGGCAGCTGCAGCCACTTGAGTGACCTAAATTGTTCCAGAAGCTTCCTGGCACAGAGGAAGGGTCTCTGACCAAACACTGTGTCCTGTTTCTTAGCGTCTGCCTCGGGCAGGCCACTTCCCTTGGGACCCCAGTTTCCCAGCCTGTGAGGACAGCAAAGTTTCTGAAAGAGACAGAATTCTCTTTCTTTTCCCTAGTCTTATTTTTCTATTTAAAATATTTATTACATTTTGTTTATTTAGCCAGTGTGCTTGTGCGTGGGCATGGGTGTGCCGTGTGTGTGTGTGTGTGTGTGTGTGTGTGTGTGTGTGTGTGTGTGTAGGACAGAGTCAGTTCCCTTCTTCCACCATGAGGATCCTAACTGACCTCAAGTCATCAGACTTGGCAGCAAACTCCTTTACCCATTAACTCATTTTGCCATCCCAAGCCTAAAACTTTTTTTCTTTTTCTTTTTTTTTTCTTTTCCAGGTGCTGGAAATTGAAGTTAGGGCCTCACACACGCTAGGAAAGTGTGTCAGTATACTGTGCTATAGTATGTATGTGTATGTATAGTATAGTATGTATGTGTGTGTGCAGGCGTATGTGGAGGCCAGAGGTCGATGTCACGTGTCTTCCTCAATCACTCTCCACCTTACTTTTTGAGGGTCTCTCAGGGAACCTGGAGCTCACGGATTCAGTTAGGAGGGCTGGGGACTCCGGAGATCCTCCTGTCTCCAACCACCACTGCCCCAGCCCTGAGATTACAGATGCGTGCCACAACACCTGCCTTTTCCCATGGGTTCCGGGCCTCGAACTCAGGGCCTCACGCACGCACAGCAAATGCTTTACCAACTGAACTATCTCCTCAGTCCCTTCCCCCCACTTCTCTCCTTTCTCCTTCCTCCCTCTCCTCTCCCTCCCTTCCTTCCTTCCCTGATATCTTGGGGACAGAGTAGGCCTTTACCCATGCTAAAACACCTCTTACCACTGGGCTCCATCCCAGTCCCAAATTTGAGTCTTGTTCAGGACACCACTTGATCAGATGTGACAGCCATGTCCCCAGTACACAGGCTGTCTCAACAACAAAGCGGGAAGGTTCTGGGTGCCTATAGCCACCTCAACTGGGATAGCCTAGCTCTGAAGCCAGTCTGTCTGCAGAAGTCAAGCCTTGCCCAGTCTACATCAGGAGAAGCCTGGGCTGCAAGCCCATTTTATAGACCAAGTGAAATGAGACCAGTCAGTCTTGCCATACGGTGTGTGGGAGGGAGGGGGGCTGCAGTGTGTCCCTTCCCTCCTTAAAAAACTTCCCCCTTCAGTTTTCAGTCCAGCCAGCCAGCTGCCAGCTACCCAGCCCCTTCAGGAAACTCTCGGCAGCTCCGATAACGCATCCCAGATGCCAAGACCACCCGCACAGTGAGAGGTGAGCCAACAGATGACAGGAGCGGGGAAGGGCGGGTTCCAGGCCCCCAAAGTCTGGGTGGCCTCCATGCACCTATGTGAGCACCATCCACCTGAGCCTATCGCCAGATGCCAGGTGTTTCTAGACTGCCCAAGGCTGGGCATGTGGAGTGTCCAGCACCCGACAAGCCAGAGTCCTCCAGCCACACTGGTCCCTCCCATCCCCCACCCCTTTAAAAGCACAAGTTCTCCTCCAGCGCCCAGGGTCACTGACCTAAATGGCTACTGCTCAGAGGCCGGACAACAAGCTGTGTTTTGTTTCCAAACAGAGCCGGAAGAGGCGAGCTGCCAGCCTCCTACTTTCGCCTCTGAACACCCAGGGGGCCCAGCGCCTCCCTGCAGCTCTATTTTGTCATCTAGCCCACAGTTCCAGGTACTCCAAAGCCTTCCATGCCCCAACAGTGGAGCCACACTCTGAGAAGGGGCATGGGACAGAGACTGAGACTAAACATTCATTTCTAGCTGACGCTCAGGACCAAGTACAAACTGCTTCCCTGGGCCCAAAGGTTTCCATGACTGAATGGAAGCACCCTGACTAGTCCCTAAGTCACCACATCCTGCTGACACCAGGCCCAGCTTCTGCACCTCAACCCAAGCTGTTCCCTTCCTCTGCCCGACACACTGACAGGGGTTGCCTGAGGACACTGAGGTCCCAGGTGGACATGTATATGCCTTTGCTTTTCCCTTCCCTGAGCTCATGTCCCCGGCTGGCATGGGGTACAGCAGGTAGCAGTTCTGTCCCTCAGTTGCTGTCACCTGAGCTAGCCAACAAGGCGGTCCATCAGAACTACCTTCGAATTCTTTGTCATTATGATTGTGTGTACACATGACGCGGAGGGTGATATGTCTGCTTCATATGTCTAGACATCAGAAGGAAGCTTTATGGAATTGGTTCGCTCCTTCATTTGTCTGTGGTTGCTGGGGATCAAACTCAGGCCACCAGGTCTGTGTAGAAAGCATCTTTACCCACTAAGCCATCTCTCTGGCCCTGGAGTTTCGTTGTAGCTTCATTTATGTTTGCTTTAAAGATTTATTTATCTATTGGTTTTGGTTTTTGTTTTGCTTTCCCTGACACGGTTTCTCTGGGTAGCAGCCCTGGCTGTCCTGGAATTCACTGTGTAGACCAGGTTGGCCTCCAACTCACAAAGATCCTAGGTGCTGGGATTAAAGGCGTGAGCCATCACTGCCCGGCCATATCTTTATCTTACGTGGATGGGTGTTTTGCCTGCACATATGTCTGTGGACCGTGTATGTGCTGCGTCCACAGAGACCAGAAGAAGGCCTTGGATCCTCTGGAACTGGAGTAATTAAACAGTTGTTAGCTGCCACGTGGGTACTGGGAACCGAACCTCTGGCTGAGCAGCCAATGTTTTTTTTAACTGATGAACCATCTCTCCACCTTCTTTTACTCATTCTTGAGAGGCCCTCACATAGCCCAGGATGGGCTCAGATTCACTCTGTGGCCAAGGATAACCCTGAACTCCCGATCCTGCTGCCTCTTCCTCCCAAGTGCTAGGATTACAGGTGTGAGTCATGCCCTGGAGTCCTGACAGAGATCACCAAGTAAGGGCTGACCATCCAGAAAGCATCCAGGACGCAGCATGGATCCAGCATCACATTCCAAACTGAGTGCTTACAGTCAGAGCCAGTGTCTGAGGCCGTGTCTCGGATAGCCTAGGCTGAGCTCCCTAGGTGGCTGCACTAGTTAGTTAGGATGTCAACTTGACACAGGCAAGGGTCATTTGGGAAGAGGGAACTCAACTGAGACAAAGCTTCCATCAGATTACCTGGAGGCAAGTCGGTGAGACGTTTTCTTTTCTTTTTTTTTTTTTTAAAGATTTATTTATTATGTATACAACATCCCTTCCATGTATGCTCGCATGCCAGAAGAGGGCACCATATCTCATTATAGATGGTTGTGAACCACCATGTGGTTGCTGGGAATTGAACTCAGGACCTTTGGAAAAGCAGTCAGTATTCTTAACCTCTGAGCCATCTCTCCA